AAATTTGAACTGTTTAGATTGACTTTTAATGATACAAATTAATCTATATTTTCAAAAGCTATGAAATCTAATTTAATGATTCAAAAATGTAGAGTTCTAATAAATCAGACTTTATATATATATATTTTTCTCTTCACTATATTTTTTTTATTGATGAATTGTGACTAATTGAAATTAATTAAAATATATTTTATTTTATTGATCACTTTATATTTTGTGGGAATTGATGGATTAAATCTTGAAAATTAGAATTAAATTTTTCACTTAATATTTTTCGCACATGTGGCTATTAAGTATTATCTTATTTTGTGCAGTTTTTTTTGAAGCTAAATTAAATATCATTAATGGAGATTTATTGGGCTTGAAGTCATATGGGACACACGGATTATTCAATGAAAAGGAAGGAATAGAAACACAAATTGAAAAAAAAAAAAAAAAAAAAAAGCGAAAGTATTCAGGAATCAGGAGAGAATGAGTAGAGGCTGAACACGCGCAACTCAAGTTGCTTCTTCCTTTTCTTCTCTTCACTTTCGATAGTTTCTTCTACCCTCATGGTCGCCAGCTTTTGTTCAATTTTTAGAGCCATAGGGCTCTATAGTTTATTTGCATATTAGCTACAGTATTCTAATCCTAGGTTTGTAACGGGAGTCTTATAGTCATAATGGAGACTTTTGGGTTGAAATTCCTGTCTTATTTCCCTCTCTTTTTGCACTCTTTTGTTGTAATTTTTCTTTGCTCCATGCATGTTCAGCTTTGGACATAATATATTATATTATTTGAGGGATTTTGCTGTTCAGATTTGAAGTATGCTTTAATGGAATTTTTAGATATGAAAGTTTCATCAATTCCTCTTTTTATTGCTGTTGGTGTTGCAAAATTTATATTTTTCAGATTTGGGTGTGTGTTGGTGTTGCAAAATTTATATTTTTCAGATTTAAATTTATATTTGTCAGATTTGGGAAGGGGGGGTGGGGGTGTGTGTGTGAAATCTGCTCGCTTAAGCATCGAAATTATCAAAATCAAGGTAATAAGAGCCTACACCCGACAATGATTACCAAGTTTTCTTATATTCACAAATGAGAAAAAAGTTTTCCAAAATTTTGATGGAATAAACAATTGTCAAAACATTTACAATAGAATCTCAAAATTTTAACATTAAGAATTCTCCCAAATACCTTCATTAAGCTCATAACATGGTTTTCAAAGTATTGCAAAAGCTTAAAAATTAAATGGAGCCCAAAACATTTGTTTTAAAACTCAAATATGTAATTTGTGCAGAAATGAGACACATGTCATGGCGTCGCTTGCTTCTGTGCCATACATCACGACATGAGGTGTCATACACCATGGTGCATTACACAAAATATAATAGCAAACAGCTATTGTCATATAATAGCATTGGAAATGAATTTTTGACATGTCCCAAATCTTTATCCGACATTCAATTGAGGTAATTTTGGTGTTTACATGGAGCTTTCTCCTAACTCTAACTAATGACACTAGTTTCATATTTAAATTTATTTTCTATAAAAAGTTAGACTTTCAAACCTATTTACACCACTTTTCACAAAAACTCACCACAAGGGTGTCCAAACTTACATACAAGTGTCAAAAGCCTACACCGGCCACTTAACCACCCTCAATGAACTCTAGGAGATTTATGCAACACACCACACTCAATAAAAAACATATAAATCATAAATTTACCACTCAATCCCATATCTCGTAAAACAATCATTTTAATTCCAAAACAATCCAAATACATATTTTCCTACTTGCACAAGTATTTTGGCCCTATATAAGGATTTACAATTAAAACTCACTAACTCAAGGTAAAAAATACACAAGTTATATGCTATAATAATGCAAGAAGTACAAAAATAATCATGCGATTTTTAGTTGGCAATTTAATCAACATTAATACACATAAAACAACAAAATGAGGCATATTAAAAAGGATTACTCTATATCCTATGCCTCAACATGTTTTCCCTAGTCTGGATCCGATGACCTAGGCCTTAAAAATATTGAGAATTGAGGGGTGAATACAACCATTAAGTAATCAAGTTTCACATAATCTCTACAGTTGCATATCAATTGAAAACAAATATAAATAGGCAGAAACACACAAACACAACACATGTGATGAACATAGCCACGATTCACAATAATACAACCATGTGACCGAGTCTAAAATACATTTATCCATATTAAATGACAATGCACATCATGGGGTCACAATAATACCAATTATGCACCCTTAAACCACACTAATCACAATACTAACAACCATATGGCCAGGTTTAAATGCATGATTAAATGCTAGCCTTATACCCTCATGTTACCTCCGACATGAAACTAGTGGCTATTATGTATCTACGTTATTCACGAACTAATCTAGCCTTTCACTTATGAGGAGCTACCGGGTCAGGGTCAACTCACTCACTTGTGTAATTCGGTTTCCCCAAATACTAACAACCATAGGGTGTCGTACCCCTAATCTAGCCTTCTTATGAACCGGTGTAAACTAATTAGGTTCGAGTCTCTAGTAGAATAAGTGGGACAGTCCTGAATCAACTATGAAACAAGGACTACCTCTCGATTCTAATGGTCAGTGCTATGATAAGTTTTTGATTCCAACAATCACTACCAATATCACATGGGTTTAATCAACTACTCCTCTCCCTAGGCGAACTCTTGCCAATAATCATGCCATGCATATTTGACACATACTATGCACTTGTGACAATTAATGTCATGGATACATTCCTCTTATCACATCAAGCATATAAAACACTTTTTTCTCCACTATACTCCACATACCAATTAGTATATACACATATATTCACAATCATCATCATTAATCACATGCAAATAAACATACATATCATTTCTAACCATAACACATCATCAAACATACCAATTTGATTCAAGAGTTTAAAACATCAATTATGTTTTAAATCAATCATTTCAACAAATAAGCAATTAATATTCAACTATATAAACTAAGTTTTTCTTGATTATCTCAAACCTTTAATAAGTCAAAGGTTTACCCCTCTCAATAACCACTTCCAAAACTTCTTCCAAACTTGAATGGTGCCAATTGAATTACACTACAATCATATTACAAGAACATCATTATTGTCTTACTTTTAAGGATTTATCAACACCAAACTCCACACATTCCTCCCTATCAAAATCATAAAATCACACTCACTCATTCCCAATGGGTTCATTAGGTTTCATTAACCCACAAAATCACTAATGAATCATTAAATTATCATTAATCATCCACAAACACTCCCAACTACCTCATTAATTGCTAATTTTGCATATTAATGGCTCCCAACTACTAACTACTAATAAAACCATTAATATTGCATTTAGATACCCTAAGCAACTCTCATTATATCCCTTTTAACTAATGGGTTCAAACTCATAACTTATATGGATCGAAAATCACCCTCCTAAGTCAAACCATAACTCAAATCTTCATAAAAATGGAAGTAGAAGGAAGAAAGGAAGCTCATTATACTTACCTTAGGTGTTGAGAAGTCTTTAACTACCCTCAAGGGTCCTAATATGCATGTCCTAATAGAGAAATTTTGTGCTCTATGTTTTTTCCTTTCCTCCTCTTCTAATTTTACACACAGACATGAATAGATTATATCAAATTTTTGGCCATGCACCGTGGTACACATAGTCTCCCACTGTAGCGTGTGGTATAAAGAGCTCTAATCACATTAATTTTGCCTTTGTACACTGCAGCGGATCGTCCACACATCGCAGCATGTGACACAAAAGGCTTTTCTTCACTTTTTCTTCTTCTCTCCTTATCCGAATAGCTTGACTTCAATCTAGACCCACTTCTTGGACTGAAATCAAAGCTAAACACACTGATTAGACCCCTCTAACCCCACACTTCATCTATTCACTAATCACACTCATTAAACTAATTAATTATGCTAAATTTTCTCATATGTTACATTATATTTCTTGGATATTGAAATGCCATAAGCTTCTAGTTGATTAATTAGAGGTTTGAGAGGGAATTAGAGGAGGAAATTGATTAATTTTCTCTATTTGTGAAAAATTCTAGGATTAATTATTGCTTTAGTTTAAAGTTTGATTGAGAAATCATTGAACTTTGAATTAGATAATGGCATAAACCTTAAATCAATATTATATTCAAGAATTTAAGTTCAAATTTTCTTTCAAAATCTCAATCAAAGGAATCAAACTGTAATTTTAGACAAGAACAATTGCAATCTAAGGGAAGAACTTGTAGTTAATTGTATTTCTCATATTAAATTTCAGTTAATCATTAAGTATCTCTTTTATTTGTCCTATTTTTGTTAATTAGATATTTTAAATTTCAGTTTCAAAACCCTCCTGCTTAATGTTTTAAATTAACTTTTGTTTTAGTTGCCAAAAATTCTAATTTAATAGAATAAATCCTTGACTATTGGAAAACCGACCCATATATTGTTCTATTACTTCTATATTACAAATCTTAAAAATTATTTTTATTTTGATACTATTTAACGGTAGCATAACTAATAATAATAGTAACTTGTCTGTGGTCATTGCTCTCCAGCCTAGCTATATAAATGTTCTGGTAATTGTTATATGGCATTTAGTTCTTCTTCTTCGTTTTCCTTGGACACTTGATGAATTTCAGATATATGAATGATTAAACAGAGTTTGATAATCTATACACACTCTTCACTTTTTAAATTTTTTCAAGTTATTTTCCCTTTCCAATCTAACTAGACTGCTTGATATTTATCTGAGATACTTCAAATATACAAGTTTCCTATATTATACAACGTATTAACTCTTTTTTTTTTTTTTTTTGCTGCTATGTTCTGTGGTTTCATTTTATTTTCTATAACTGCGTCAACTCACTTTTGACGAGATTTTCTTCTGTTCCACGAAAATGCGTATTAAATTACAGAAAACAGCAGCTATATTTTAGAATCAGAATGGTTCTAGCTCTGTTTTGTGCTTCACCAAGAGAGCATGATATTCATATTGAAAGATTGCAATACATATAGAAATTCTGGAAACAAAGACGCTCATGAAGGATCAAGAAACAATACAAAATCACTTTATGACAGCAAGGTTTCTTAATTCAGAACACACCAGAGAGTTAGTTGAAGAGAAAAACGAAGATCATCAAAGCGAAGGTTGCTGCGGAAAGACTTAAACTTGAGTCCCAAAAACAAGACACCTGTGATAAGGGCGAAGTTGCAGAGTTACGATTAGGATGAGGATGACGATTAATATTTGCACTACCAGAACCAGAAGGCGATCCTCTTCCTCCACTTCCATGTGCTTTTCTTACATTATCAGATAATACCTCCATGTCCTTCATGCTTCCATACGATAATCTCTCTGAGATTGAACAGTGAAACCATCAACAGATTCAGCAAGCAAAACATAAAAGGCTTGAAAATTAAAGCTGTAACAAGTCTTACCCAGAAAATGTTCCTGCTCCTTCTGCATACTGCTATGGTTTAAAGCTCTGCTTTCTGAGGTTGAAATGGCTTGAGCGTATGAGATGAAGAGAAACAGAACAAGAATTGTTGACACCATCCTTGGGTCGTCTGAGGAAATGGAGGATTGTTGTCTCTTGTCTGTGCACAAATGGGTACTTGGTTTTACTTTGAACGAAACCTCGAATTTCAGGCGATAAGGCTCATAAGGTTATCAAGAAGCTAGGATTTCATTCCTCTTACAAAGAGAAAGTTGCAGGATTCTCGGGAGGAAAATGGGTTCTTTGGACTGACAATCTGAGCACTAATGTGCTTGTCAATCAAACCTAATTCATACACATGGAAGTAGAATATCTCAACTATGGGAGAATATTATACTCTTCTCGGCAATGTATGGGAACCCACAAACACATTTCAGGAAATAATTCGCCGAGGGGACAATGGCAGTGCCGCAGTGACATGACTTTATTCTTAGGAGGAAGACATAGAGGTTCAAAAATCAGTTAATTCAAAATTTTAAGTTTGATTTTTAATTTTATAATATTATGATAAATTTATAACTTATTTATTAAATTTTAATATGATTGAATAATAAATTAATTTATATTTTTATTAAAATTTAAAATATAAGTTATAAATTTATCACAAAAAAATTATAAAATTAAAAATTTAATTTATAAATTCTTAAAATTTAAATTTTAAAATTTAAATTAAATTAATTAATTTTTTTAAGATTTTTATGTCATTCTCCATTTATTCCTTACTGTGTCTGGGGTTCTTGAAAATTTATATATTACGCTCAGAAATGAACTTCAAAAGGAAAGGTTGTCAGAGGTGAGAGACTGACTTGACTTGATTAAATCTGTGGTTTCTATCTAGGGTTCTGAAAAATTTGAGATAAGAAATTATATATGCCAAGAGATTACTTTTTAAAGTTAGAAGAATAATATTGATCAGTTTTGTTTTAGTTTTTTTTCAAGCAAATGGTCTGTAATAATGTGGAGGGATATTCTGGTTTTATATATAAGACATTTTTAATTAAATTAAATTTAAATTTTATGGGGCCTAAATGTAAAATTACATAATAATGGAGGCCAAAAATTAGTTTTAACATTTTTACAAAAATTAAATAAAGTAAGTATTTTTTTTTTTAGAGAAAAAAAACTGTAACATGTGCCAAGAACCCCTACGTACTGACTCCCCTAAATAATTTTTTAAATTCCTACCTCATTAAAATTAAAAAGAACTAGTTAAATTAATGATGTTATTTAAAAAATAATTTTATTTTATTAATTGTATCATTTTCAAAAATATTTTATCTTTCATCTTATATGCATATGTAATCTTTTGTTCTATTTATTGAAAATTATGAAAAAATAAAATTAGAAAAAATAATTATTTTTAAAAAGTAATTTATATTTAAAATTGGAGGCAGTATAATTCGCTTTATGAAAATGAAAGAGATGGGGACAAGTATGGAAAAAGTTGATATCTGGAAGGAACTTTATTGGACCATTGGATGCTTTTGGGGAAGGATTTAATACTGTTGTGATTAGAAAAGGACGTTTATTAGTAATTGTGTCTCTCTTAAGAAAGAAAGAAAAGACAGTGATTGCCATTTGGCACATGGAATAAAGCTGGCACAGTGTGAAGAAAATTAAAGAAAATTTCTATCATTTTCCTCGAACAAAAGATTCTTAAATTAAGGCATATTTTCATTCTTAAATTTTTTTTAAAAACAATTAATATCTTCTTAAGCTATTTGTGATAGTAATTTTATCTTTAAAATAATTAAAAATTAAAATGTAGCATATTTTTTTTTTCAATTGTTAAACACTCTGACTAAGTCTAAACGAAAATGTCACATATCATCTTAGATGAATTTGAATTAAATTACATTTTTGTATTTGAACTAGTCTCCAATAAACATTTAATGTCTTAAACTATATGCCGTAGTAATTTTACTTTTAAAGTAAGTAAAACATAGCATATTTTCATGCATTTAGCCCAAACACCCACTGTCACTCAAAAACTCTCATGTTACACTATTGAAACTTAGGTATTTTAGGTGCACAGAACTAGAATTGATAATTCGAGCCAACTCACATGAATATAAAAAAATATTGGAGTCAAGCTTAAGAATTTATAAATTTTTTTTTTACTTTGAACCTATTTGGGCTACTTGAATGTGTCTAAAGAAATTCAAGCCAAGTTTAAACTCTAATAGATTTAGTCCAAATATTTAAATTTTTTATTTTTAACAAAATAAAATTAAAATAATTTAAAAATAAAAAATATTACTTTTTTAAGATAAAAATTGAAATAGGCTAAAAAAGAATAAAATGAAATAACACTTAAGAATTTTGGTATTCAAGCCATCTTAAAAGTCTAAGATGTTTAGGATTGAATTTAGTTATATGAGCTTTTATTTATGTTTGGATATTTTAAACTCAATTTTTATAAATTCTAGTTCCATGCACTTGGAACACTTAGAACAAGCAAGTTTTAGAGTGACAATAGGTGTTGTTCAAGCCAAATGTTTAGAAATGTTATACTTTTTAATTAATTTATGGATGAAATTGATATGAAAAATAATTTAGAATATTAAATGTTTTTTGAAAAATGGTTCAATAAAAAAATACATATTAAATTGGATTTATTTAACATGATAGGTATCATTTTCACTTAAATTTAAGTCCTAAAACATATTTAATGATTAACATTTGAATTATAATATTAAAAATATGTATTATATTTTAATTACTTTAGCAGCATTAGTTATCACAATTGTTATTCCTTACAAAACAATTGGTGTCCCTCACACGATAATCTATGGGCAAAAACATATTGTAATCCAAAAATCTTCTTCTGCGATGTTCATCGGGATAATATATTGATGCTCTCACGTACAACTGGCCACTCATTTTGCAGTCAGGATATGATTCCTTCATTGCCATGTCGCTTTCTTGAATCCTGGAGAGTACTTTTTTTCAAAAGAAAAAAAAAACTTAAGATAATCAAGTGATTATTGTTAAATTCTCCAAAATTAGAAGGGAAATTTTCTAAAGTCTCTAAATTTCATCGCCCAGCATGATAGAGTTGATTGATAGAGGACAAAACAGTTGTTGACGAAGGTTTTTAGCCTGAGATTTGTTGAATGAAAAATTTATTTAAAAAGTTAGATTATTAATGAAAAATTTCATTATTAAACTATAAATATAAGGCATATGGGACCTCAAATTTATTATTGATACAATATTTCCTTTCTACTTTAAAAAAAAGTACAATATCACTTTTATTATTAATAAAAATTAATTTTAATCATTAATTGATTAGAAGATCACAAAAAATGAATAAAAATTATATATAACTATATAAGGACCAAATCTTGCTTATTTTTTGTAATTTTTTAATCAACTAAAATCAAAATTAATACTTGTTAATATTACATCATTTTAAACTGTTGAAAATAAATATTGCATTAAAAATAAATTTAATATCACAAACACGCCTGCACCTATATTATTTAGGAGCAAATTTATCATGTGAGGGTGACAAATATGTGCCGACAGCTGAAATAAAGTCCCTGTTTCTTGAAGAATCTAGAAAAGTGGACATGTTTAAAGTTTTCAATTAGCATACCTAAGAAGACGCATGAAGTTATCAAAATAACTAAGTGTTGCTGTAATCGAATATCTTTATTGTAAAACAAGCCGCCCAAGTTATAAGTTTGATGAGGTCAACTTGTGATGAGTAAAGTCGAAAATAAAAGTAAGATCTAAAAATTTTATTTAAATAAAAGCTCGAATTTTAAAAATAATTTTTGTTAAAATAATTGAGTTGAAAGGTTTGGTTTTGTAAAAAATGAACTCAGATTCGGGTAGCCCTTCAAACCTTATTATATCATCATCATCATCATCATATTTTTTTTTGTGCAACACGTGTTTGAAACTAATGACCTACTCACCTGATCCTATGCACATTATATTATTATTAATTTTAATTTATTCTAAAATTAATTTAATATAATTTAATAAATATCAGTATATAGCATAAAATTTTTTATATTTTTTATTTTTTATAATTATTATATTTGTGTATTTATAAAAAATGAACTGTTTTTTAACTAAAATTTAAATTTTATTACTAGACTTCTAAATATGTGTTGCTTAATTTCTAAAAAATTATGAGAATTTTATTTTTTTAAAATTTCAAAATATTTTAATTAGTTTATAATGTTTAATTTTATTTTAATTTTTTTATTTTTTAAAAAAAGAATTGCGGGCCCAGCGCTAAGCCCTTCACATAAAAGTCGGGCTTCAGAAACGAGGCTCAAAATGGGAAATTGAATTTCAGAGCTTAGGCTTTTAAAAGCTGAGTCCATAAGGGTCAGGTCTGACCGTATTCCTAACTCTAATGATGAGAGAAGCTTTGTTTTTCCATCAAATATGAGTGGATATATTTTTTTATGAGAATATAAATTAATATTTTTCATACAATAAGGAGAAAAAATTCTAAAGAGCTAACTCCACAAAATAAACCGAAGATTGAAAGAGACCATAACAGTGCCTCCGAGTCTGTTGTCCTCTCTACCACCATGAGTTGCTTTAAGAAAGCAATTTCTTTTTACTTTGAACTCATTTTCTTTTGCTGGAAAAAAAAATGATTTTGTAGAGGCAATTTTCTACTTCTTTCGTCACGTTTTGATCAAAATCAAGTGATATAACCAAATAATGCGCACTAAAATTTGTTGTATGATTTATTTACCTTATTTACCCAATTCCTATTATCTATTTCATTCATGCAATCAGTTTTATACTTCAGCCAGCTTTTTCTTGGGTTTTGTAAGACTGCAAGTGGATTATGAGAAGACATGCATTGTAGTTTAATGACTTTGCTTAGGTTGTCTAAGTTTTCTGGTTGTTTCAGTTTCTATTGCAAAAAAAAAGACTGCAAGTGACTGTTTAAGTTTTAATTTTCGCAAAATAGCAATGTATATTCAGCCCTGTCCCTGTAATATTTTAAAGCTAACCTTCACTCTCTTCATTCCATGATCTCACAAGCACAAGTCCATTGGTCGAATGTGTGTAGATTGATATATATTGCATCCATGAGAGCTACATAGTTAATTTATGGGGGAGCTGTTAAACAGGCAAATTCAATCCATGTGAGCTTGAAAGTCTCATGAGCTTAGTTTCGAAAGCTTTTTTTTAAAAAAAAAAAAATTGCTCATTTTTTTTAACTCGGCCCTCATTAATTGAGCTTGGGGTAGAGGTTGTAATTCCTTTTTCTTTTAATATTTTTAATTTTTTAAAAAATAATTTTCACATTATAATGTTATAAATTATTTTCATAAAATATAAATTATAATGTTTAAAAATTAAAAATGAATAGTATTTAATTGAAAATTTGGAAAATATTTATTTTTT